CTTCCGATCATCGCGCGCGCGTGCCCGTGTGTGGGTATATACGCGTTCAGGTAGAATGCCAATTTTATCCCGCGAATCCCCGGACTCGGTTGCGCGATAACTTTTATCAAAGGGTAAGATACCGGACCTACTTTCCTATTCAAGGTGTGGTGCGAAACGATCTTCATTTACTTACACGGGTGTGGAAGAAGATTCCACATACACCCGAGGCTGTTCCAAGTTACTGGAATAACGCGCGTATGAAACGTTTATCGAATGTAGGGTGTGTCGAAGGATGGCGTAGAATGTTAATTGTTCTTTTAGAAAGTTAATTCCCCGCCGGTCTGACGTAACGTCTTTTCTACCAAACGGAGCTCGCGGTGTTTTTGCGTGGTAATTTTACGAATTCCGCGTCATCGGTTTTTATTAGTCATTGTGAGAACGTAATCGCGTCGAAAACTATACACAGTGCCTGGCCTGGCCCCCCGGCCGATCGGGGCGCGTTCGCCGATCAATCCGGCAGCGATCGTAACGACGGCCGGGGCCCGAGCGCGATAAGATAAACGGCGGAATCCGTTGAAATTTTACCGCTCTCGGCTTTATCGCGCAACCAAATCGTCGCCGTTCTTTCTCTCCTTCGCCTTTTTTCTCCTCTCTTCCGGCCTGCCGCTACGAGCGCGTGCGCGAACCACGCGAATCGAGGGGAAAGGAATCATTGTTCTCGATTATTTTATGGGAACACGTCTGAACGAATTAAGGTCAAGAATCAGGGACTCCGGGAGATTACGGCAATGCATATCGAGGGACAAATTATGATTGGTCGGTTCGTGGTTCCAGGAACCCCTGAATTATTCTAGCGTAGCTCTACGCGTTTCCCGCTGGAATGCCGCAGACTTTACGAGCCGTCCACGAGTCATCATCCAGCCATCGAACAGCCTCGATGATTCACCGCCTATCGTCGTCGCTCGAGCTTCTATCCGCTCTCCGTCGAAAATTCGTTTCCAAAATTATTTTTCCATTAACCATCGCCGCCTTCGGGCGAGCGTCCATCGGAAATTTTTAATCGATCCATTCCCCGACTCCGAATCGATCTCTCTCCCGCGAGTACAGGAATTCTTCACAGTCGTCGGGATACGCGCGATCTCTCGATTGCGAACATTCCCGCTTCCGTTTCGAGCGGACGGAGAGGAAGAAACGAGAACTGGGTAACGACGGAAACGATTTCGCGCGGCGTCAACGCTTGCTGCATACGTACATCATCGAGTCATCGATGCTGCGTGCCGCTAACTCGTTGTTCTTGGAACTAGTTCAATTTCCCGGAACAACGAACTAACGTCTAAAGCCCCGGTTTATATTATCTCCGCGTAGCGAATTTTAAAATCTGCGTCGCCATTTCGCCAATTTATTCCGCGAATTTCTTTCGCGCGTTCTTTCCGTTTTCTAATTTTTTTAATTTCTTCCTTTGAATTCCCGATCGAATGGCTTTCGGCACGATCGGCGAAAAAATTGCCGTTGGAATGCGTGGAAAAGTCGTAGAAATTGCAACGGGAATAAATTAGCGACGAGGCTGGGTTTGCAAGGGAAACGGCAATCAACGAGCGGAGTCAATTAAGGAAAGCTTTTAAATCGCGGACAAGATTTCACGGCGAATTAGTTATCTCCTTATTGCGTCACCAGTCACCAATAAATTGAGATAATTATTTTCATATAATTGGCACGGCGAGCATGGATCTTGGCGTTGGTCATTAAAGTGGAAACAAGTTGAACGAAATCCAACCGCTGTAGCAGATGCTCGCGGCATGTTGACAATCCGGTGTCACGTCATCATCAACGGGCCCGGTGTCCACGAGGTCTACTATAATCGATCTACGTCTTCGAGTCACGAGTTAAGCTCGATTCACACCGGCAAGTAGGAATAACCTGACAGCCGAACGCGAACTTTCGCGAATTCATGCGCGCACGCGGACGGAAATAATCCGCTCGTTCCGCGATTCACCTTCCCGGCGATTCGTCAACGCTGCAGAGCGGTCCGAGCGAACGAAAGATCGCGGCGAGTGTAATTGGAGAAACGATCTTTTCCACTCTCGCGAAACTCGGCGAGAAGCCGATGGAAATTTCCAAGATTCCCCGCGGCGAAAAATTGCGAGCGTGAACGCGGCGCGCGTTCCTCTCGGAAAGCGTCCGCGTCGGCGAGCACGACGCGCAGGAAAAGGAGGAAAAAGGAGACGAAACAATCCATTTCCGTCGCGAGGGCGAGAGAAAGAGAGAGAGAGAGAGAGAGAGAGAGAGAGAGAGAGAGAGAGAGAGAGAGAGAGAGAGAGAGAGAGAGAGAGAGAGAGAGAAAGAGAGAGGGCAGGGGACACCGAAACGCTCCGCGGGAGATGAAAGGGACCCTCGTCTAATTAATTTGTTCGACTGACTCACCCACGACTCTTCAGGTTCCTCCCTCCTGGCGTTCTGGAAAAGGACGCTGCCCATCTGAACTTGAAGATTCTGCTGCAGCAACTGCGCCAATTGCGGATTCTGCGACAGAATCGCAGGATTCTGTTGCAGTAGTTGAGCAAGCGCCGGATTCTGCACGAGAATCTGACTCAGGGGTGTGTTCGCCATCGCGTGAAGGGATTGGTGCTGTTGCTGTTGCTGCTGTTGCTGTTGCAGATTCGGGGAATTCGCGTTCGACGTCTGACAGGACTGAGACAGGTTGCTGGGGGGTGGATTGTGACGGGGCGGGCTTTGGGGGGTGTGCGGTGGCGTCGGCGGGCTTCCTGGCGCCATTGACGAAGCATCCTTTTCCTCTTTCACTTTCACCTTCCCTGCAACACGAATTTTCACCATTTCGTTAGTTAAAATTCAAGCAATTTCCAGGAATTTGAACGTCGTCTCTTCGCGACGAGACGAAATTTTCTAGGGGAATTCGAATCTTTGATAAGTGTCACTTTGCGAGAGTCTCTGCGAATGGATAGACGAGTCTGACGATTAGGTCGATTCGCAGAGAGTCCAAACGCGTTTCCATCACCTATTATGGCTCTTCGATCTGTTTCCCCTGACACCTCGAAGAGACTGACTGCCTGACTGGGAGATACGAATTTTTCGAGATTTCGGAAAGCACGGTGGGGAGCGAGGGCCTCGATTGGCCGAAAGCTGGAATACCGACCAACGAATAGAAACACGACGACTTCGGGAAGGTAAAAAGCGAATGAGGGGAGGTTTTTTGCCGGTCGGGGCCGAGAGTCGTGAAATTGAGACGTCTCGATACTGAAAAAGCCGCATTCGACTGCGAGAGCAGGTACACATCTGCTGATTCCTTAAGCACCGAATTTTCATACCCCTCTAGATATATACTTTCGAATTGCGTTTAAACGACAGTTCTATAGACTCGACGATTATTTATGCGTTCTTTAAACACCTTTCCCATACCGAAAGTAATTACACTTTTCTCAGATTTATTTATTAAAACATCTCTAATTTTTACAATTTTTCAAACGCATCTTTAAAACTCTCTCTCTCTCTCTCTCTCTCTCTCCCTCGTTTCTTTAAGGTTAATTCGATATATTTCACACACATCAGGGATATAATATAATTTTGGAGAAGATGACACCCCCACCACCACGTTCTGCTGGATCACTACTCCTCCAGGTGTCGTCCACTATGAGGTGTAAGAGCCGATGAAACTACTCACAAAAGCTTGGACACCACACACATTTTGGTAGCCGTGGAAATCGAAGAGACCGATGATGAAGGGGAAACTAGATATCACCGGACACCCATCCTTTCGTCTACCGCGACGACCGATGCTTAACTTGGACGAGCACCCATCATCAGCCAGGTGCTTCGCGGTTACCTCGCGTTGAAGTCGACTAGTCTTTAATAAGGTATACGAAGATCCATAGCGGGACAACTCGGAGCGATTTCAGATACCTGTCCGTGTAGTACAGTGTGCATTAACCCTCGCAGCTGTTGCTCGATCGTCTTAACACGAAGCAAGCGCTTGGCAAAGGAAGAAATAAATCGTAATATTTAACAAAAATTCGTGCAACAGAGCCACACTATATTGCCAGTCATCCCAGGAATTTCAGCGCTACCGTCTCGTATTTTATGAAAGCCACGGCGGTTCCCACCGGCGAGAAACGATTAAACCGCGTGAAATAATTTCTGCCGAAAATTCGGACTTTTGAGAAGACAGTTGCCAATCCGGATCCTCGGCAAACACAGCTGAACGGTTCGATATTTTCTTCCCAAAGAGAAGACAAACGAACACGGCGCATCCCGAGGAGGGTTTAAGCCGGTGGAAGGAGTTAGGGCAGCGTTTAATACCCCCGGGTGCGAAGTCTGCGATTCAGGTAGATCCAGCGGGGTTTATTCGCGCCGATGAGGATCCATGAGAACATCAAACTCGGTCTACGGAGTTTCTACCTGCAGCTTTCGGGACCTGGCCAGTCGATCTCGTGGCCGCGAAACGAGGAAACGAGGAACAAGGTGAACCGGCTGAAAAAAGAGGAGCTTCGAAAATCTGGAAAGGGCTTAAAGATACCCTGGGACCCCCTCTGGTCCAATCCACGACGCCTATCGAAATTACGCAACCCCTTGGTCTTCGTCTCTGCCATCCCTTCCTCGCCGGCCTTTATGCTACCTACGGCATTTTCCCTTTTTACCATTTTCACCGCGGGACGATCTTTTTAACCAGACGGATACGCGGTTCCGTCGCCGAGCTCGATGAAAAATGACTATTCTCCGTGATAATTTAAGAGACTGGCAGGCGTGTGGGAAAATAACCCCGGGACCATTTTTTCCGGGGCCCTGACGCGTTCACTGACTGCCTCGATACGAATGGAAACGTCCGTTCCTTCGACATTCGGATGAATCAGCAGAGACCGATTTATAATTTAATTCATATACCGATTCGTATAATCGCGATATACAAGTATGGCGGAATTTGAGGGAATTCGGCGAGCAGAAAGTCAGCTCCTTCGCGCTCGTTGGTATTCGAATGAGTTTCTTAAAAAGATACGAGGCGTACGCGGTTGTAGGGGATAAAAAAGAAGCGACTTGAAATGATTTCGTACACGTTTCAACGGTAAATGGATTTCTACGAGGGGATACTTGTGAAGGATCGCATGCACGCTCGCGTTATGCTTGTATCCCGAGCCGGATCCTTAAATTGACTCGATTTTTAAGGTCCAACCCGAAGAGGAGGTTGCGCCGCGGGGATCCTGTGTTTCTTTTCCTTTCGCGACGTTCTCCCTTTCATCTTTGCTCCACATCGTCTCGGCCGGCCGATTGATAAAAATCAAGCGGAGGAAAAAAAGCAGCCGGGGCAGAAAAATGGCGCGGGGGTTCGGGGGTGGTTGGTGAAATCGAAACGTCCGGGAAAGTAATTGGCGTAGTTAACGAGTTAAGAAGCGGATTTGTAAATTAAAAAGTCCGGTCTGGAGCATGGTTGGAAATTTTCGCTTGGGCCCCGGACGGGCCCGCGAGATAGTAATTCCGTGTAATTTCGCATCGGGGCACGCGTGATCGCGCGAATCGGAACAGCGTTCTCGAGGAAACGCGGAACGAAGAACCGTAACGCTGACATTCGACCCTCTCACCTATTGCGGGCAAGTTGCAAGGAGTAAAAAATGGGGAAAAAGGGGAGAAACACCCCGATCGCATCTTGAACCCATTTTTACGAGATACTTAAGCCTTTAAATGGTCCGCCGAGAAAGCTGCCTCTCCGATTTCGGAGTTGCCCCGAGAGAAATCGGTTAACCCCCGATCGACGTATGCAGCCGGGGGTCGCGCGCGATTTTTCTCAGGGGTTAAATCGACCGTGGCCCCCGAAAACTCGCGTTTTTTTCATCCTCCTCTCCACGAGATCGCAGGTAGACGCAGCTACCTGCACGCGCGCGTACGTCCGCCAGTAACCCGGAAAGGAATCCGGTGGTGGAGTAGAAAAAATGGGGAAAAAAGGTGGAATAAAATAAAAGAGTCGAGGGGAGGTAACCCCGAGCGGGAGAGAAAGGAGAGATTACGCAAGAAACCTCGGGAAAGGGGAAGGAAAACACGTAGTAGCTCGCCACCCCTGAAACTCGAAGGAACTCACTCTCTCTCTCTCTCTCCCTCGATTCCTTCGTTTCTCTCGCTCTGCCGGCCACGCCGGGGGTAAGAAAACAGGGTAAAAGCGAGTTAATAGTCGGTAAAACGGTATTCACCCTGTGACCCGTCGGGGTTACCGGCTCTCCTTTAGGGCTGTGCCGTTTCTCCTCTTTCTCTGTTCGCGCTGCGCCGTCTGGCCCGTTCCTCTTCCGGAAAGGGGTCGAGAACGGGATACGCCGGAGGGGTGGCAAGGGATCATCGTTTCTTTTCCACGCGTAACGGGGATGGAAAACCGAGACACGAGACACTCCTTTCGCGCTGAGAAATCCGAGTAATCGTTCCGGGTACCATCGTCGAGTACCACGGAAGGGACTTTGGGCTTTCCTTTTTTTCTTTTTCCCCCGTTTTTCTCTCGTTTCTTTCCTCCCTTCGGGAGAGGGCGAGGCGGAGAGTGGTCTCGGATAGCAGCGTGAGAGAAAATCGTGAGGAAATCGACGAGATTCGCGACTTATCGTTAAATCTATCGGATGACTCGGCGAACTCGTCCGAAGGGATTCGTAAAAAATTGATCCTTCCCCCCGTGGCGCGTAAGAAACGAGCGGATTCGTGGATTCCGGGCGCGATGGTTAAAATTTTTAACGGAATAAAGTTTCGCCCGGCAGATAAAAATGTCTCAATTCGCGAATCTTGCACGTGTTAGATCGGCAAGATACCGCTTGGTTTGGACGCGAGCGCGCGAGCGGGGAAGAAAAGGACGAAGGCTGAGCCGATAAACAGGGTCGTGGAATTTTATGCGACGCATTCCAGGAACGCGTGAAATCCTTGCGTTTCGATGGCTCGCGCGAAAAACGATCGTTGTCCCCGCGGTAATATCGCAATTAGCGATAAGTCCGGCGCGATCTCTGTCGGGGCCAGGCCACTCGGTTTTACGAGGAATCGCGTCGTTATTCGTGATTTAGGTATTTGAAACGCGCCGGGACGTCGGATTACGAGTGGTCGGGTCTCGGCTTTCTTGTTTCCCATTAGAATCGAATTTCGTGCGTATCGTCGTGTAATGAAACACGCGAGCGTTTATAGTGTTCCTCGCGTTACGCATGCCTAACGTGCATACGTGGAAATCGCGACACGGATTTCGCGATCGACCAACATGCACACGTCGCGTCTCCACTTCCCACGAGAGTCTTCGATTTACCGTTCGCACGCTTTATTACGCGCGTTCGTTAACCCTCTTCTCCGCTCTCTTTCATCCGCCTCGTATTTACTTCTCGACTTTCGTTTAATCCCCCGCGTCCTTGGAACAAAGAAACCACACGCTGCTCCGCCATTTTCGCCACCGGCCGCCAATTTATCGCGGCGCGGCGCGTCGCCATCGTTGAAAAGCTAAGCGCGATCCTCGAGATTCCTATTTTTCCCTTTTCCAACCGGAGCGACGCGCGAGGATCGAATTCCGTAGATGGAGCATGAAAATAGAGGAGAGGATCGGTCGAGGAGGAAAGCTGAAAAAGCCCGGCGCGAAGAGCGCTCGCGCGCGCGCGCGCGCCGAGGCTTAATGGCCGGTTCATTTGTTAGGCCAAAGCCAGGGGGGTAATCCAATAATTTCGCGGCTAGGAAAAATGAAAATCGATTCGAGGTGGCTAGCACCGACACCTGTTGAGGGTTCAAGGTCGCGCGATAAAAGACTCGATCCATCAAAGGAGTGCACGAGCCCGCGAGGATCGCGATGGAAAAGTCGGCCTCG